AATCAAATATAAATTTGAATTTGTATTTGATTTGATTTTCAAATCAAATATTCAAATGTCAAATCGAATTGCAGAACCCTAATAAGATCTATCTCTTTGTACTGTGCAACATCCTATCCATAAAAAAACTTTTCTTAATAATTCATTTGTATTATTAGACATTAGAATGCTTAAAGATTTGAATCATTTCTTCATCAGTAAGAGGATCAGCTCTATTATAATCACCATTATTAATTTTTTCTAACTCAATCATTCTGGTATACAAGGTATCACATACTGCTTTAAACTCATAATCTTCATATATATTAAATGATTCTTTAGCTTTGAATAATTTTTGATAAAATCTATTAATAGCACATATTCCATTATATAATGAATTTGCTATAAATTCTTTTTTTTTCTTGTTTTTATAACTACTATAAATTCACATAAAAACACTGCAATAACATTTTTATCATAATGTATAAGTAAATCTATATCTGGTTGAGTGCTCTTTACAAATTTCTCAAATTTAGAAAACCATAAATGAGTATTTTGTTGAGTATTTTTATGTTTTGATATAGTAATATATTTTTGTAAAGTTTCTACACAAGGACAGTCATATATTTCTTTAGAATTGAATGATTTTAAAGTTTCTTTATGTATTTCGGTAAGTTGAATATTTTGCATATGAGTAAATTATCTTTTAGTTCATCTAAAATGGATGTATCATTTTTTGAATTTAATAATTCAGAAGCTTTTATAAAACCTGCTATGAGGAAAAAGAAATTAATTTAGTAATTATAATTTATTCTTTATATATTTGTGTAAAATAAGCTTAAACTTTATAATAATGCATTATTATATAAATTTACGAAATAATTATATAAACTTTAGAAAACTATTACGTAAATGACAGGAAATAAATCAATTTCCTGGCTAATTGGAATAGTAAAATTTTACTTATTCCTAATTAGTCAGGATATAACTAATACTTACTATATTTGATAATTGTAATTCAGAAAGGTAGTTTGATAAATACAATAGGAAAGAATACATAAGTATAATTCTATCGAAATTAATCAGAATTGATTCACACTGTTCTTTAGTATAACATGTGTGAGATTATTATAAGCTAAACTAAAAAATCTTTTAATGAAAATAATAGGTTGACCAAGAATTTTTAATGGTACTAAACGCAAAGTTTAAAGTATTCTTTATTAGAAATATAAAAACCCATTATCAAACCCTTACTCAAATAAATTAAATTATGTAAACAAAAAACATAAAACAGTTTCTACACAAACTATTCATAAAGAATTAGCTAAAAAAATCTCTATTTACTCATTCTTCATTTCAGTTTATTAATTTCTGATAGTAATAAAAAAATGGTATTTGTGGGCTCATATTTATGAAAATTAGATAGTAAAAGATTTTAAAAAAAAATTATAATCAGATAAGTCTATCTATACATAATTTAGAATTTTAGATTTTGGGCATATATTATGTAAACTAGCTGAAGAATTCTATAAAAACTGTATTGCTATTATAGTTCAATAAACTGTCATATGTTTTTTGGGATGTTTCTTTTAGGTTGGTTTGGATTCTTTAGTTCCCTTAGTTGATCACGTTACAGGAATTTTACACTGTAAAATTTTGGCTAATTATTTAATTCCTACAGTTAAATCTCGTGTAAAAAACCAAAAAAATCCTTTTTAAAGAAAATAATGCATCTATTCATATCATAAATATTGTCTGATCTTTTCTTGTATTCTTAAGAACCTTCTTGATAAACTCAAAGTCTTGATATTTATTTGATAAAAAACCTTTATCTTATATTGAGGTTAAGATCTGCAAATAAACTTAATAGCATCAAGTATTATGTAATTAAAAATATAGATTAAGGAGACAGTACCCTATAAATTTATTATCACATCAGTTCAACTGTTCTTATAGTTAATAGTTAATAAAGTCTAATTAAATATTAACCTGTAATTTGATAAATAAAAAAAAATAAAATTTTTATGTTAGTATTTTTGTAAATGATTTTGCAAAAATGGCTAATACTAATTATATATTTTATATCTAAATACTTTTTAAACATGTTTTTTATACATATTTGAAAATAGCAGGCTTATTTATTAGATAATCATTTACTCACTAAAAATATAAAATCTTTAAAATTTAAGAAATCATACTTCATTAACTTTTAAGTTATATTAAACAGCATAAACAGATAATAATAACTTGAAGAAAATGAAAATAGAACGCTTTTATTGAAAACACTTAAGAAAAAAATATTTTCATATAGAGAAGTAGTTATAAAACTTACTTTATACTAGATATGTTTCTTTTTAAGAAAAATCAAAATATATTATAAAAAAGATAATGATTTAGAATACTTTTAGTAGAACTCAGAATGAAAATAATGAGACGAATTCAGAATTGCGAAAATAAGTAAATATATCAATTTTAATAGAAGGTTTAATATAAAATCTCAATTTTATTAGCTTAAAATTTTGATATCAAAAAGATAAATTATGCTTATATTTAATTTAATTAGTTTATCTGCCACGATATATTCAACATTAGATGGTGTTTAAGCTCAAACTTATTTTAATTTCAAAATAATGTAATATTTTTGCTAATAAATCTATTAATAGTCAAAAGAATTTAGCTATTTACTAATATTTACTGTAGTTCATTTTCGTGATGATATGTCACCTGTACTTTTGTCACATTATCATTTTTTAGACTTAGGGTGAACTAGCATAGCAATTTTTTTTTGCATTTTTGAATTCGATGTGGTAGTGTATCTTAAACTTTATTAACAAAACAAGTAAAGTAATATAATTACATATAAGAAGTCTATGCAAAGTAAAAGATACTAACTCTGAAAAATAAAAAAATTAAACTAAATTCAACTGGGCATCATTTGATAACTTCATTTGGTTGAAATAAAAGATTTCAATAAAGTTTTATCATTGCCAAAAAATGAGTAGTTACTACTTACAAAGAATATTATAACTGTTGGAGATGTAATTATTAATTAAAGTATACTAATTAGAATATTTATCATTCATAGAATGGATTAAAGGATATATATTATATAAGTTATTAGTAGTGAGTCTGTTATAGAGTGAGAAGATTTGCATTTCTAACAGATAGTGATACCTAAGATTTTTTTTTTGATTGTGATTATAGAACATTTTGAAAGTTAGATGTTATTTAATATTTTAGTATAAATGTCATTGAGTAGAATAGAGTGTATAAGTAAAGATTTTTCTTGCAATGAGTTATATTAAATAATTGTTGAGATAACGAATAAGAAATAAAACGTTTAATAAAATAATAAAAGTAAAGTTAATATATGAGAAGAAAATTTCCCAATATATAGATAGAAGAATAACATTATAGATAATCTCATCAAGATTAATAGAAGAGATTTTAAAGTATTGCTTTAAGAGTGAGATAAAGTGTAGTTGGGTATTGATTATAATTAATTTCATTTTTTAATAACAGATGAACATAGATATAGGTGATTGAAAGTTTTCAGTACTTGATCACATATATAACACAAATGTAAGTTTTGGTAGAGGTGAAAATTTCATATGCGTAAGATTTGTAGTGTAGGCAGTTGTTTGAGCATAAACTTGAGATATTGAAATTTATGATAAGAAGAAGTAAAGGTAGTACTAAGTGTAGATTTATCATCAGTAATATGGGAAAAGTGTTAGGCCAGTCTATATCTAGTTTTCGATATTAGTATTTCTTTATAATAAATAGAATTCCATAAATTCACAAGTATGTGATGTTAAGTAAAGAAAATGTTATAAGTGATGTATGTTGTATTGGAATACGATTAAATAAAGATAAATAATTCAAATAAGAAATGAGAGTTTGTTGAAGTTAATAGAAGGTTTATAATATGCTAGTTTAACTAACTTATCAACTTTAATATTGTGAGGATCTTTAGACTTTATGGAAAGTAAAAATAAGATTATTAGATAAGGTGATATCAAATAAGATTAACCATAATAAAATTCATCTATTTTGAAAATTTCTCATAGATATAGGAGTAAATTATTAGAAAGAATGTAATTATATGTTGAGATAGCGGTAAAACTATCTGTATAGATAGTAATTGTTGATAAAGGAGAAGAGGATATAAGTGCACAAATGATAGCAATCAGTTCAGCATGATTAGAAGAAAACCATGGTAAGATAAATGAAGATTAAAAAGAGATTATAGAATTATCTTTTAATAGCCAAACAATGCTCATAGGTTGTGAAAAAGAAAGGGGAAGAAAAGAACCGTCAGTGTAGAAAGTAAGGTTAGACTTGTGTCAGAGTCCCTATAAATAATCAGTATAAGGAAAGTATACGGAAATAATACGTTTAAAAAACGTATAAAAAACGTAGAAAAA